TATATATATATATATATATATATATATATATATATATATATATATATATATATATATATATATATATATATATATATATATATAAATGCGGGATGAAAGCCGCTTTACACAGAAGGCCAAATTCATCATTTCGAATCTGCGATCAAATTTTAAAATGGCGCTTGTGGACGAAAAAAATGCCCTACCTCTGCTTGTAGTTTGCTCTCAATTCTGCTTTTCCACGTGACCTCACGCAAACCGCACGTGAATAATTACAAAACGATTGTGAGCCTACCACTCTCGACAAAATAATTGCACGTGGATGCAGGAACAGCCCATCTTATTCGTCCTTTTCTTCTTTGCTTGCTTTCTCGCTTTCTCTTCCCTTGCTCTCTTCACACTCCTCCATCCTATCTGTCTATATCCAACGTATTTATAAGAATCCTAAAATTATTGATTGGCGTAAACTACAGTATCTACGTCAACAGAAGACAACGTTGTGAGAATGATTTCGACATTTTCAGCACTTAGTCATGTCTGGACCACCGACAGAAAAAGACAAACACGACTGAGAAAAGATAACACTGTTCTGGATTGAATGGTGAACCTTTGTCGGTGGATAGTCTTTTTTCTGGATTATGTAAATAAATACACTACTCCACGGATATCCCCTTGTTGTGGGAAAGAAGCTTGCGTGCTTTTATGAGGTTGCGAGCTGTGGTATGGGCAATTGGCAATAGCCGTAGAGCTTCCCATACCAGACAGCTCTCAACTGAAGGACCAAACAAAGTATCTTCACAGGCAGGATGGGCTCGTTAGTCTTCGGATAACCGCCTAGAAGAAGGGCAACTCTGATCCCAAACTCGGGCAGATGAAGCTCGTTTAGCCCTGTAAGGCCTCCATCTCAGAGGTTACTCTAAATCTATGTCCTAAAGACTTCGTTACCACCGTCCAAGCTCGCTAGGTCCTGGCAGATGAATCTTACGAGTAAACGGGCGCCTCACTTGAAAAAAACTACCGCGCGGGCTCGAAGGATGCACCCACTTTTCAAAATCCTTTAACGACAAGCAAGCGATGCACTGGACGCGGCGGATCCAACCTTGCATGCAGGCGGTTCAGGACACTGATCGCTCGAGATCGATCCTGGAGATGACAGTCTTGTTTGGCAACATCCTGAACGACCAACCAGCATTTTTCAAGGAAAGCGCTGCTTGCTCCACACGGACAGGGGTCTGGAAAAAGTAGCCTAGCCAAAGCTCATCTCCATCTCCATCCGGTTGGCTAGCTGCGCCCAATGGACATCTTTTGACGCGGTCGAACAAAGACAAAAGACAAAGGCACACACCTACCTCCAAAAGTGTACATAAATTGACACTCACATACTGGAACATCAGAATCATTTTGATAATTCGAACAGTGGATGTCCTGAGCGTTGCCTTGCTCTAGTTGCTCACGAACTATCATGATTTAACTGCTGCTGTCAGTGAAGTTCATCTCCATGAGGATAGTGCTCTCAATGAATATGGTGCCGGTTACACACTCTTCTGTTGGGAGAACAGAAAACCGGAAGCGACCTTTCAGGAACTGGCTTCATGGTTAAAAACTCCACCGCCTATAAACTCGAAAATCTGTCAACAGGTCATTCTCATCGTCAATCATATCTCCCTATGCCTCTCACTACACAACAAGCAACAAGTTGTTCTCTTCAGCATATATGTTCCAACTCTGCATGTTGACCCTATTGAAAAGGTAGATTCTAAACCAATCTACGCCGTCTTATCCAAAAAGTTTCTCCAAGTGATTAGGTAATAATCTTTGGTGACTTCAACGCTAGAGAATTTCAAAGCCTCGAAAGGTGTATTTGGCAAGCATAGCGTTAGAAGCCGCAACGAAAATGGACGGCTTCTGCTAGAGTATTGTACAGAGCATTAACT